AAACCTAAACCAATTCAGTTTACAATTTATAGAGCACTTGAAGAACCAGATATTTTTGAAAATAATCAATAATCAAAATGTTTATATATAAACTAATCACACTCCACAAACTATTGTAATTCCAATATCAATATCAGTTGTGGCATGTCTTCATCCTGACATTTCGGCCTCCCTTTATCTCCCCCACCTTCTCTCTCACTCTCTCACACACTCTCTCTGATATGCGCACTCAGCAGACTGCAGCTTTAATATTTGCCTTGGACAATGGTCCACTCATTGTCCACTCAAGGATTTCAAAATACAGAATGATTATCAGGTGTATAATTTTTTACAATTCTAATTTCTGGGGTATTAAAAGGTTAGATTGCACCATTAGGTTGACTGTGAGCACAGGTGCTGATTAAGTTGATTCACTGAGGCAATTACAGCCAGATCCCCTTTAATTACTGTGGGTTTTATTGCAACTGCGTGATAATGGTGCGCAGGGCCTGCAGGAGTTTTAGATGGAGATGAGATTGCAAAGTATCACACGTAGGCACAAATCTGCAGGATGGAGGATACCTTTCACACACTGTCATATGCACACACACACACACACACACACACACACACACACACACACACACACACACACACACACACACACACACACACACACACACACACACACACACACACACACACACACAAGAAAGAAAGAATAAAGAAGAGAACTCAGATTTCTCTCAGTGTTTCTATTTTAATGTATATCTCCCTGCCATACACACTTGTTAAAAATCACACACTGATTATCATTAGTTAGTCATTGGACAAAACGTACAGTCCCCAGCATCACGACAATACTAGAGTAACGGCTTTTGTGTGGTGGATGATACACACTCCTAGATTCATAGCATGTCCTGCCACACACATTTACACAGACTCACAGACAGGCTGACACCATCCTAACCTCTACCCACCCACTCACACACACACACTTGCCACCCCGCTCAACACAGGCATGCAATGAGAAACAAGTCGACAGCTACACAGCAGGCAATATCCCCTGCCTTCAGCCTCGGCGCCTGTTTCGGATGCATCTGGTTAGCAAAGGCTGACAGAGGGCCGGCCATGCCTCAGAGGACAGCAGAATGAGGAATTTCGGCGTTCCTCCACATCACCCCTGAGATGCAGGAAACACAGGAGTGCCCCCACCCCCCAACACAGACACACACATACACACACACACACATATACACAACCCGTGATGTGCTCCTAAGATTCCCTGTCACCGGGAATGGAAATCGAAAGTGGCACACACATCCGTTATCTAAATGTTAACTTCAGTGCCCTTCTTGTTGTCACAGGCGGGCCGAGGTTAGCCAACACAAGGTGAGGAGCTTTGCTTTGGGCCTCTGCCACGGTACACTCTTCTCAGTAGGAAGAGAGGAAGACTCTGATGCAAAACAATGGCACTTCAAAAGCAAATACAGCCCACTTTCACAAGTTATTTTGAGGTAAAGTAAACTAAGGAAGGAATTTTCATTCTGATCTAAGTGTCACTCAGTATGTACCGGTATTTGTTTATCTGGTAAACTCAATATGTAATCTAAAGAGAATGACGTCCTTACTGTCCTTGTTCTAAAAAGAAGTTTGTCATTTTAAGTCAAATAATAATTGTTTAAAGCGGCACTGCCCATTCGGTAATAGGACTTCATTGGTTGATTATTTGTAATCAATCCATTTATTCAACTCTTATCAAACTTAACAAAATCTCCTACCTGGTGACACGTTGCCATCTTAAAGTTAAGCTGTTGCTCTCGGGCCAGGATTGTGTTGTAATTAAATGTGTTATTTCTAAATTATATTGATAAAACCTTTGACTTTTTTGTGTATATAGATACTGAAGTCCAACCATTATCTAAACCACTTATCATGAAGCCACAATCTGCAAGACAACCCTCAGGCAAGTGTGGATGATATGTTTGAATTCACTAACACAATACTATTAAGATAGCTTTTTCATCAATCCTACACAAAACCAACTATAAACTAATCCAATTGAATTGTGTTTATCTGCACACTTTTCACATGCCTAAAACCTAAATAAGTCATTTTGTGAGGTTCAAATGACTATTTCTTGTAATTAATAAAACAAATTATAATTGTCTTGCAAAACAATACAAAAATATAAGTGACCATTTACTCACAATAGAAAACTACTGAAAATACTTGTTACTAAGTCTATCATGGGTTATCAAAGGTATCACATCACTCTTCTGCCTTGTTTATCTGGAACAGGGTAAGAATGTGGGAACGCCTCTGCTCTGTGATTCATAAAAGAATGAAGAGCAGATATAAATAGGCTGGAAATATGTTTCTCCTGTTTGATTCCTGTGGAGAAAAAAGTTGCAGAACCTTTGACCTAATGTGTGCTGCGGGTCATGTTCACGTGGGGGTGTACCCTCAAAGCTTCGGTCCTGTGTGCGGCTGATTAATCACAGCATCATGACATCTGTCTGGCCTCAGCCCAGAAGAGAAGTGCGAGGCATGCAGTGCCTCAGCACTTCTCCAGGAGCTCCAGGATAGATGGGGGGGGGGGGGGAGCTGCTGGAAGGAGACGGGCGGAGAGAAGTGGACAGTTGCGTGGACAGACTTGAGACTCTGAATGCAGACTGATGCAGCGCAGGCGGTATTTACGCTCCGACGGCTGCGGGATCTAGGAGCCGGATATATTTAGCCGCCTAGAGATATCACGCCGAGATGAGATTTCAAAGTGAAGTACCTGTTTGAAGATGCATGGCATTCCACAAGGGTGGGCAAGGGCTACTGGGTATAAATCTAGCACCCCTGCACCTGGTGTGAAGACAGGGAGGGAGTGTGACACCTAAGATTTAGAATGACTTACACACAAGACATACATGTGTAAACTACACACTCATCCATGTAAATTTACACACTACTCGTGAATTGAAAAGACTGGACACATCGCTTTTTAGCTCTTTCACTTCCACACAGCCTCATACCTTCACACACACAGACACGTACACAGACTGTGCATATTACTTTTCCCCCTGTGTCGTCCCCTTTTTGTTAAATCTAATTCTCCTGGATGTCCACAGCGTCATCAGTCATGGTCTGATCTTGGCTGGAGGAGATCCTCAGAAGCACGGGTTAGAGGGAATAGAAACGACATTTTGTGGTGTATCACAGTCACTTTCGGCAGCAAAGCTAAGTCACACAAATGAGATAATATCTTCATGAAAAACAGAGTTGTTTTATGTGTTCACATTGTGTCCATGACACTTTAACAGGCCCCACCCAATACACATTAAGAAGCATATTTTTTAATTTATATCTATTAATACCATTCATTTCACAAATGACATGATTAATCTTGATCTACATGCACTTAGATTGCAAGATCGACACTGGTCTTTTTTTTCTCCTACTATTTGAAAATGAGTAAAACGTGATAGAAAATGTCCTTTTTTTACCCAGATATCTCCCCTTTTCTCTGGAATGTTTTGAGAATAACATCGAAACTGTGACCTTAATGCCTTTAACAGCTTATCTAGGCATTGAGATTCCGCCAGCTGCTCTCAGATCTCAACTTTGGTGTGTGGATAAAGTCCCAAAGGTGTCCTTGTCCAAGAAGCCTGCAGGACTAACTCTAATCTGGGGTTTATCTATGATACAGGTGTGATCTTAAGACGTTAGAAGGCCTCTTCCCTGTAAGGGCTACATGCCACAGGCCATTTATTCCCGTGGATGACACCGACATTACATGTTACTTGTTAGGCGCTTTTATCCAAAGCGACTTACATACTGTGGACAATCCCCACCAGCAATTTGGGGTGAAGTGTCTTGCCCAGGGACACAACGACATGCTGACTGCAGTGGGGTTTGAACCTGTGCTCCCCTGATCCCAACACCAACGCACTAATCCACTGCGCTACACGCCTCCCTAATAAAAATAAAATCCTTATTGGGTGTCTAGGGGTCTTTTCATGCACCCCCAACCCACATACCATCTCTGTGGAACAGAGGAATGACTTTCATGGACTCCCTCTTTGTGAGGAATTTGCTCTGCTGCAGATTAGATTTTCAAGAATCTGCAATGTCTATGACACTAGGCAGCTGTGTTAAACGGGAGGGCATGGTGTGGCTTTGTAAAGCCTCCACTCGCTTATTGCATTTCCCTTGAGCCGGTGACTCATTAATCAAATATTCATACATCCCCTGTAAATACATAAAGAACACAGTCAACTCTCAGAGCGCTGTGTGCCCCCCAGCACAAATGCCCTTTCATGTTTCTCACAAAAATCCCCAAATGTCTCACCCCCTCCCCTACGCCTCCCTCCTGTCCATTCAAGCCTTCTAATCTTCCAAAGTTGGGAAATGTCACTGGTCCTTTGCCTCTGCATACTTGATGTTCCCGCTCTGTCCACACAGACGGCTGGTCGTCCGCTAAAAGAAAAAAAGACACATGGACAAACACAGATCAGACAGGGGATCTAAATGATGCCTTTATGTGTTTTGCCATTTCTTCTCCATGGTGAAGGAGAGAACAGATGAGGGATTCTTCTCTTTTTCGGTCCGTCCATCTTCCCCCTTGGCCCGGCTTCCTCACAGAGGGGACAGTTCCCTCCTTTAAAAAGCAAGGCTCATCATAATACAAGAATTTGTATTGTACAGGAAAACAGTCCAGCATAGCTCAAACTAAGGGGGCAACACACAGATTATCCATGGTAACAGAGCTTTGCACACAAGGATATTTTCTTTTCCTCTGCAGAGGAACACAATTGCCGCCAGTGTCACTGGGTCACATTTTTTCCGGTCCCTGGTTAATGGGCTGTAGAGATGGTTAGCACGTACGATTAGTTTTAATCTACTACATTTGACCGGGAAAGAAAGGGATTGAATACATTTCAACACATCGCTGAGGTTTGTATCTAGTGCTTTTTTTATTCAACTAGTCACCTCAAATTCTAAAAGTTGATAAACACGAAGCAAACTGATTAAAATAATCAAATATTTTGCCTTTATTCACTTTTCTTTTGGCAGTTTGAATTGTTTTGAACATTTTAGAAGTGAATTTATGCAAACAGACGTGCATTTGTTGCAGTGCAAAGATGTACATACAATAGATTCAACAGGCAGAATACTTCAGTCATGTGGAAGTGATCAAGACAAAGTGCATGTTCCTGTTTGGCATCGTAATGTGTTGTCACATACTTCTTCACTTCACTAGTTTGCTACGATGGAGATACAGTAAAGGCGTTTAAAAAAGCATTATAGCATTAAGTTACTCACTGCTGGAGACTAGAATTGAGGAGAAGATAATCAAAAGAAGGAAAAACATTAATGACCATAATATGAAATGTTAGTAAATTCTCTTTCTTTTGCGTATTGTATAAGATATAAAAAAGGGATGGTTTGAAATGATAAAAATGTGTAGAAATGATTAACCAAAATGGTTCATACATGCAGCATATCAAATTATTATTATTTGGAAGGTTGATATGTCTCTGATTTCATCATGAGGTGTAGATTGCTACTCCACAATACAATTTTGTGACTTAAAACTTACTTCAGTGTTAATTAGACAAATACAGTAAATACTTTATATCTAAATAACTCTATTGTTAAGGGTAGTTCATTACAGATAGTGCTTGATGAGATATAGCACATGGCATTATCCCTTTAACAATCTCTGGCCTATCTATTTTTTTATAAATACCACCTAAAAACACAGGAGGCACGCAAACAACCACATCGTCATACAACACCATTATGTTATTGCTCAGAGAAAGACATGAGCTGTAACGTGAATGAAAGACATGTTGGCACAATAATGAAATAAGTGTGTTCAGAACAAATGTCCCGTATCGACTGGATTCAGACAGGTGAAGAATTCATCCTGTATATTCACCTGAACTTGCTCCTGTGGGTATTGTCCACAGTATCTGACCATTGCATGTATCATATATGTGTAATGTGTGTATATGTAAAGCGCTTTGAGTCATTGATAAAGCGCTATAATAAATGTAAGGAATTATTATTATTATTATAATGGAAGGTTTTTGGCAGAATGGTTTAGTAAAAGTTTCCCAAAGTTCAGAGAGCCCTTTGCCCATATTAATTACGGCTTAACAATAATCATCTTATCCCAACTGAGATGTGGCTCTGTGAAAATAACGCTCTACTCCAATGACACTACACATATTGTATAACACTGTTAGCCTTGAAAACATGTGGGAGTGATTAACTGGACCTTACGATCATGATGAGGAAAATACTTTTAAGACTTCTAAACATGAAGTAAGTAATACAAAAAAAAATCCTCCAAAATAAGTATGTCGATATTTGGTGCAAATTGAGGTGTTCCACTAGAATCGATGTTCCTTTGCATAAGACGACATCTTAGCTCATTAAAAAAATCAGAGCACCAAAAGCTCACAGTTCCAGACAACAAATATGAGTCCAAAATAGTTATGGCAAAGACTGCTTGGCAACAAAGTTTTCAGGAGGTATTAACTGAGTTACTGTATTTAAAAAAAATCCCATAAGCATCAGTGTCCCAGTAGACTAAAACACAAAGCTTTGTGTATCAAGCAGTGTGATTCATTAGAAGAAGTTCCCCGTCAGTAGTCTTTTAAAACCGCGCTGTCAAAGCAGCACAAAGTCCCCGGTGGTGGTGACCGTCCTCCGGGGGTCACGGATAAAGGGCCATTCTCTCTTCTCCGGGGTCAGGCCTGCAGACAGGTCGTAATCTCTGCCGTGACCTTGGACGAAAGTGAATGCCGGGTATTTCTCCTTGGCTGACGGCTGCAGCACCTGGAACAACAGAGCAGTGATTCAGAGTGCTAGTGTTACACCATGCTGTACACTTCATAACAGTTTGCTTTCAATTTCATCACTTAACCTAACGAGGGGTATCTTATTGCACCTCTCTTGTAGAGGATATTGATTTTAGAGTCCTCTAAGCAGAAATGTTATAAGCTACGGGGGTAAGACTTCTAAATGTAGCCAACATGTTGCCTGGTTGGAGAAGCAAAGTAAGAGCAGATTCATGGCTAAATGGTGCCATCTACTGGTCAACTTGTATTACTAACCAACCAACAATTTGCAGGGGGAGAAACAGTATACATATATCAATTTGGTCATAATAAATAAGTGGTGATTTGATTTTTTTAATAAGGCCTGTTACAAAGACAACTATTCCCTACCTTAGAAAGCTCCTGGCTGATTCTCTCGTAGTCTTGAGCACTTTTACAGTAGAAACCTAAGGTGCAACTTGGGTCCATCTTGCTGAAAGGCATCTTCTTTGGCGAGGGGCAATGATATGACTGGACAAAAAGAGACAAAATACATCAGAAAATAATCATCAAGCTGTAGATAATGTGTAACAACTGCGGGGCTTAGATACACTCCAAGGCAGCGTCAACGGCGAATAAGATGTATTCTGCATCATTTGATGAATGCAATCCTATTTATCTGCTGTCACTGCATCCATACATTTACAACTCTGCTGTGTTGTCACATTGTATACCACTGCATGCAAAAGCATAAAACAAAAGTTGCTACACAGTGCTCTGAGAGGGTTTTTATGTATGGGTCCTGAAATATTCAGGCTCACAGTACCTGATCTGGTATTTGCCGTATTTCTCTTAAGTGGCAGCTTCACACATCTGAGCAGCAAATAAATCAGCAGATAGGGACTCGGTAATTGGGCCAGGGGCTGCTTTAAGATTCATACCCTTAAGTACTAACAGAAACTATTAAATTCACATTACTGGGGCTCTAGTCAGCTCGTCTGTGTAATTTCACATTACCTGGAGAGGGAAATCGCTGGTGCTGACATCCACAAAAGACTGACAGTAATGAGGGTCCATGTAAATCAAGCTGTCATCTGCAAGGACAAAACAAAAGACAAGTTATTCAAAAACATCAGATTATTACAAAAACGCGCTTCTCTCCAATTTCTATGCAGAGTAGCTCAAAGTCACCTGCTTGGCCTACTGTTAGGCTTGTGTGCGTCAAATATGCCTCCCAGAAGGTTGTTGCTTTTTAATATCCACCAGGGTGGATTACATTCTGCATAATCAAATGCGTTTGTACAAGCACATTCTTTACACCGACAAAAAAAAAAAAGGGGTTGTCATTTAGTTTTTGTGTGGGGGAATTACTTTTAAAAACACGCAATTATATTGGACCATTTGCATATGATGAATGCAGCGCTGAGCCGCGGCATGGCAGGGAGAATGTATTGCTTGTCATTTAGACATCATCCACCACTGTATTTCAAATTGGTAAAATGTAAATGCGTAAATATTGACTGCCAAGATGTACAACTGAAGGTTCCTCCTGGCTCCTGAAGGTGATGAAGAGTGGCTCACTTTGGGGCCCGGATGAAATGTAATGCATGCCTCCTATGGAAATCAATTACAGCTCACAACTTGGGAGGTTTACTTGTGATAAATGGGTGAGGCTTTGATGGGTCAGAGAGAATAAAGTAAGCGCTGCTTCACTTTGCTTCCATCTCCACTCCTCTCCGTTTTCCTCACGCAAACAGGAATACATTAACTTACTTTGTCTTTTCACATAAGAAGGGTATATTATGCAAAATAACCTGTTATTCACACCAACCTCTCTCATTGTGTCTTTTTGCGTTTTGCATTACGCCAACACTAACCTTGAAATCCTACAAAGTAGCAGGCCTGTTTGGGCTTCCCTCCGATGATGCCTATGCAGTACTCCAGACTCAGTATGCTCTGAATGCAGAAAGCGGGACAAAGAAACACAAAATAAATCTGGCTAGGAGCCTAAATTCCTACAATTAATTTCCATATACAATATCTCAATTAAACATATTTTAAACTTGCCATTCCACATTATGTCTATTTCCTTTCTACAGCATGACTATAAGTCTTACTTAGTTTACACCTAGAAGTGTACGTGCAAAACGTGATCAAACACCAACATTTAAAAAAAATTATCAGACTGAAAAAAAGTTTGGTTCAGCTACCGTTGACCTCCATGTATCTTTCACCTTTGCAAAGTTAAAATAGTCGGGGTTTGTCTTCTCCCCTCCCAGCCTCACAGGGATGAGGATGATGACGGCTCGGCTGTCAGTCAGGGTGGAGGCTGACACCGGTTGGTTGCTCTGTGAGGTGGGCGGGGCCTCTGATCTCTCTGCAGAGGGCAGCCCTGCTCTTGGTGCCCTATGGCTATCGATGACATCAGCACTGTACACTGTGGAGGATCAATAACACAAAGGTCATTTGTCTGCTTTCATGTCTGTCAGCCCTCAATCTGTCAGCCACTCTGAATGCTCATCGGGCTTCCCCTGGTCCACTTACGATTATGTTTTATTAATCTGTGAGATACTAAATTCTTCTTTATCAGAAGAGAAATTGTACAGATAGATGCATTTTTGCCAGTTAGTGTATGTTAGTGTACAATTTTCCGAGCCCGAGATAACGTCTTCTTAAATACTTGTTTAGTCAAATCAACCGTCCTAAACCAAAAGAGATTTAAAGTGATGTAAAACAGGGAATCTTGCATCTCCTTACATTTTTAGAAACAAGAAACTGCATGTAAAGGATACATGCTTGATAAATTACTTAAAATATTATCAGTTATAACATCCAAATAGTTAACTGCTAATATGATTTGATTGACATTGATTAATCGGAACACTGTCATGGCGACAGGAGCACACAAGTAAAATTCACTCCACATTTTCTCTCCGACTCTAATATTAAACTCTTAACCCAACAAGATGTTCGCTCTCAGACCAGCTATCTTCTGCTCTGGCTATTGAGATGACAGACACAACTCAAAACCCAAGTTATTGGGGTTAAGCTGAGGTTGGTGTGGGACGTTATAGATTTGGAGTGAATGTATTTTTGGGGAATAGACACAGTGAGCATCCTGTCACCTTTCTATTCAGCTCCACAGTGTCCTGACAGCAGCAGAAAGAGATGGTGGAGAAAGAAGGGTCAGTTTGGGCGTTGTGCCCAGTATCCTGTTTTTATCAACAGCAGGCTCATCTTTCATACCTGTGCAGTCCTGGGAGACATAAGCAGTTATACCCGCCAAGCCAGGGTCCATCGCCTCCTCCACAGCTTTCCTAAGACAGAGAGACAGACAGACACTTAATTGAATCCAAATCAGAAAATATGATTTTCTTTTTCAGCTAAAACCTACTTTGGCATTTTTTAAGTTTTAGTCCTACGATGGGTTACCATCTTTTCTGTAGATACTTACGTCTGGCAGGCGGTACCGCAGCATCAGGATTAAAACCACCAGACTCAGGACATAAGACTATTCACGCCTGAGCTTGCACTATTTGTTATTGTTGTTTATTACGTCTTGTAATTGAATTGTTGAGGAACCTGTGACCGGTGTTTCATTCATTACATAACTACACCATAGTTGTGTATATGATAGGACAATACAAAATTCAAACAATATTTGACTCAAACACATACATATAAAAAGTAAAAACAGAGAAACTGATAATGCTGCAGTGGTATTTTCCAGAGCTTCCAGGGACATTTTTAGTACTCGATTAGTTTATTAAAATAAATTAAATTATGAAATTGTCCTTTCACTGATTGATGAAGTAATTTCAAGGAAAAAGGTCAAACATTTGTTGGTCACAGGTCCTTGTTCTTGCTTCATTTCATTCTAAAATCTAGACTTTGAGTATCAATTATTTTTAGAAGAAATTTCATTTTCACAATTATAAATCAAATCATGAGTGCACATAAAAAAACGAATCAGTTGTGCCTTAAACATTTTCTTTGACTTACTTGAGGATGTGTGCCACCACAGCGGGCCCGTACCAGTCCCCCGCCTGCTTCCCCATGGTCAGGCCGGTGCGGATCAGCCTGTGGAGGCCGAGCTGAGCCGAGGGGCTGTCCCCGAACCAGGACACCAGGGAGCGGTGGTACATCTCTTTCAAATGAGCATCTGCCTCCTCTGCAGATCCCGGGGCCTGGGACTGGAGCGGGGGATGTGGGCCATGCTCTGGGGGCCTGGAGGGTCCTTGCAGTGAGGCCACCAGGCGCTTGGCTGCGCTGGTGGTCCACGTCTCTGTGTCTAAAGGCTGCAGCGCCATCGCCTCCGACCAGGTCCAGTCTGTGGAGGAATTCATCAGAGATACAACATCTGGGACCAAAAAACAAACTAAGTTTTAAAACATCCTGGGAATACATGTATAGTATTTGATCTGAGAACTATATCTCTTTGTCGACTGATGGTAAATCAGTCTTCTACATTACTGTAGATACACGTCTTAATATGATAATTTCATGTTTTTGGCCAATCTTTAAATAATTATGCTATTTGATGAGGGCGTCAAGCACTAAATCTTGTTTAGAGTTTTTTTATATTATATTAGATATTAAAGAACATTTTAATCATCCAGAATGTTATATATTGTTTATATTAGATATACTATTTTTATGTTATCTTTAATTGTTAACTCTTTTCCACTTTTTAAGTATTTGTATTTTAATGTAGAGCACGCTGGTCCTGTAACAAAACTATTTCCCAATTTGGGATTAATAAAGTATATATATATATCTATCTATCTATCATTATATGAATGCCCATTTCAAACTGTAGACCAAGTGGCTGCCACCTTTTCAAAAACCACTTTTACCAAACTCAAATACAAGAAATTAGGTTTAATTCAAAGAAATATGGAAGGAAATTAAAGAGGTCACATCAAAACAACTTTAACATGACAAGAAAGAAAATAGATTAGCAATTCCCAAGTCCTACTTTGGTGCAAGAAAAGCTTGCATGTTTTAAAAACCTTGAAATCAATGGAATCTATCTATTCAACCAGGTATCTACGAGGCTCTCCTTCGACCCATCAAAGTTCAATTTATAGCATCACCATTGAGAACAAAAAGTCTTTCAGAACTTAGGAAATGTAAGGTTTTTTACTCATACGAACAGAACCTTGTGCACTTCAGTAACATAATAGGTGTCATTCTGTTCAATTATAAGTTTGAGTGTCCCAGTATTTCACTTTAACTGTGCCTTAGCCTTACAAACAGGGGGGGAGCCGAAGGCGGGGAGACAGGGAGTGGTCCGGGCTATAAAAAGGGCCAGAGTAGAGTCTAAGGCATTAACAAAATGACCTTGATCCAAAGTGAATCAAAGTGAAATTGATCAATAAATATTCTTAAGTGGCCATTAGTCATTTTATAGAGAAATATTTCATTAGTGACATATTTTAGATTTGACAGAAGAACAAGTTTTAAATATTGTTTTCTAAATGACTGCATTAAACTGGAGTCATCTCATTACGTGGACCTGTAAAGTCGAGGACACTTCAGAGACAATAGATCTGACAAAGATGTGAGGAATTCACAGGAAAATGCAGCAACTCAATTAAACTTTCACTTTTAGATTGAGGGCACAATTTAGGTGTACCGGTATTTCAAAAGTACTTACAATGACGGGTGCAATTTATTTGTAACTATTATAACTAACCGTACCACATTTAAAAATAAATGTAGCCTACTTCTTCGTCTACTGTAGTTTACCTGCTGGTTGTATGGATAAGTACTTTATTGACCCCAATTTGGGAAATGTTTGCGTTGCAGCAGCATAAAAATAGCATTAAAAAGTAAAAAAAAATATATACATGTGGAAAATATACATGTAGAAATACTAGTATTGTCCTGTCCGGGATTTCTGTATCATAAAAAAAGTATTTTGCATGCCCATGTAAGCAGGCTCAAATATTGACCATAACTGCAATATTGGCAGAAGGTAGAGTTTAATTTTTTTTAAACTAAAATGTCCCTGCTTGTCCAAAGCTTCACATTTTCTTTACAGACAAAAGCCCCCTTCTCTGACATGTAGAGCAAGCAGGGGTTCCCAAACGTTATCCGTGTGGGACTCCTGATTAGTTGTTTTTATTCATGTAACCAATGGGGTTCTCCCTTTTTAAAATGGTTAAATATATTAAATTAACATAGTTTTGAGGTTAAACAAATGTATTTTCTATCCTCTCCTATCCCCACTCACCTCTGCCCAGGAAGTGCAGAATGAGGGCCTGAGCCAGCATCATCTGCCCGGCTCTCAGCATGCAGCCCCAACCACAGTCCGAGGTCAGGGTGGAGCCGGGGAGGGGGGGGGCACTCCTCCCTGTAGGTGAGCCACACCCGGGACGTAAAATCCTTGCGGAAAGCCTCCGCGTTCCCCACAACAGAGTCCTCATCACAGGCTTCAGAGCAGGCCTCTGCAACACTGTCGTCATCTGAGATAAACAAATCACATGTGATCCACTCAGGATATGCAGTTTTTCATCTTGTGTCCTGTGGGGATGGTAAATCTACTTTTAGATGTAATCTAAATTGTAAGTGTTTGTGCATATGTGAGTGCATCATACCTTCTGCCTTAAAATGGTAACATTTTCCGAGGAGAAGCACTGGGGAATTTCTACTGAAAGAGGTCTTTAATTTCAGAGCCCAACCTAACATACACAATAAAAAGACCATGTGTCATAATTCAGGTGAGGGTTAAAACAAATTAAGATAATAATCATAAACGTATAATTTATAAGCGTCTTTCATGCAAGATGCAGCCCAAAGTGCTTTACAGAGCAAGACAAGATAAATTAAAAGTAAATAAATAACAATGAGTAAAAATAAAGAGTATGTGTACTCAGTTGGTTTTTTGCACCTACTTCACAGCACCACTCATTCAATCGGGATTGATACCCCAGATATCTGGCTCCTACATTATTCAGTTTTTCTTAAACTTGATGTTAAATAAAATTTAGGAAACAAACATTGAGTTTTTAAGTGAACAGAAATGTAAGTTGAAAGCAAAAAAAGACGCACACAAACCAGTGGACAGTATGACTATTTTAAGAGCTGACTCAGCAGCAGTAGGTTGTTGTGTCAGTGGTAGGGCTGCTCGATTATGGCAAAAATCATAATCTCGATTATTTGGGTCAATAATTGATATCACGATTATTAAAAACGATTATCCATATACTGTGAAAACATCCATTTATTGAAAAAAACAGTTGATTACCCTGAACTTTAAGTATAATTCAACTGAAAAACCAATTAAAAAAATAATAAATAATAGTTTTATTTCGATTATGTTGTTTTCATAATCGTTGCAAGCCAAAATCGTAATTGCGATTAAAATATGATTAATTGAGCAGCCCTAGTCAGTGGATGATTCTTGTTTTCATTTGTGGAGGCACATTATCATTTTAATCTCTCTTTATTCTTCTTGTTTTTAGCTGTATGTCCACCTCTATCTTCTGAAAACTGTTCATAACTGTGTGCAAAAAAGTGCAACAATTCACAATCCTTGCATGTACTTACTTACTTACTTGGCCAATACAACTTATTCTGATTTCACTTGTAAAATCTCCAATTTAGCTTAGAATTTAGAAGAATGGACTAAATATAAAACAGGTCGAAAAAAGACAGAAGTCATTTCATTAACAAAGGCTTGAGAAACAAGTGGAGACAGACATTTTGGGTAGTCTGTGTGCATGGGTGGCCTTAAGCAAATGACTTACTGTACTTGACATTGTGCCACACAGACACAAACTTTGTCTTCAATGTTTCCACCTCGTCGCTCCCTTTATTCTCCATTTGGAACAGCAAGGCATGTAACCCATTCCCTCACAGCACACAAACCCTGGTGCACGACACACACACCACACACACACACACACACACACACACACACACACACCACACACACACACACACACACACACACACACACACACACACACACACACACACACACACACACACACACACACACACACACACACACCACACACACACACACACACACACAACACACACACACACACACACACACACACCACACACACACACACACACACACACACACACACACACACACACACACACACACACACACACACACACACACACACACACACACACACACACCACACACACACCACACACACACACACACACAACACACACACACACACACACACACACACACACACACACACACACACACACACACACACACACACACACACACACACACACACACACACGAGAATTGACCGTATCAGTATCACTACACAAAGTGAAATTAGGTGAATGATATCTTACGGTGAGCACATCGTTACATATTACTTGTTACCTTGGAGCTTCTTCGATCCAGGTCTTCCTCAGTTCCAGCCGCTTTGCAGCTCTTTACAGATGTCACATCGAATATTTTTTGCAATACTAAAAGCTTAACACTGTGAATCGGCCATGGCTTGTTGTTTAAGTACCCTGCGGTCGTCAATGTTTACACTTTAAGGAAGTAAAACTCAAGTCACGTGATCTCGCGGTGTCTCTGACGGGACCAAGGAGAGGCTCGATATAAGAACCTATGTAGCTCGGTCGGGCGGCGTTTGGACAGTTTGCTGAGGATTTAAATGTCCAGAGTTAAAACCTTAAAACGGTTTGCTTGTGACAAAACATGCATACTTTGTAGTTTAAAGGCAGGGTAAAAGCCAGCGCCGTGTAGAGAGATCTATCTATACGGCGCTGAAAAAAGCCATAAAGGCCATACATATGCATTACTTCAACTCTAATTAACTCCAGCTATTTGCGCGTTTGGGGAATGTTATTCTGTCACAGTGACATAAACAAGACTACACATCGTAGGGTCAAGTAGTAATAATAACCATATCAAGAACATCTGATAATATATTTTAAAGTGCAAAATACCAAAAAGACAATATAAGATTTAAGATTGGGAACTTGCATAGTTGCTGAACCTGATGAAAATGTATCAAAAAGTGATTGCACAGCTAATAAAAACAACTGCGATCAACTCAGCCGTCTCTCGCGCTTGCTTGGTCAAATGAGCAGCTCTTCATTTTTGAGTGCGCGATGTATGCGTCTTTACGGTAATCGCCGAGTAGCGACACTGATGCTAGTAGAGTAAATAATGCATGTTTTTACTGCATAAGTTCTTAAAAAAACGGACACTTTTTGACTCAGTCCTAGTTTGACTGCTACAAACAATCAAATAAAGTACTTTTACTGTGTTTTTTCTGGGTAATACTCTCTCAAATTCCCCTCCTGAGAACAAAATCATGCCACTTCTACTATATTTGATGATAAATAAAAAGCCATACATTCTTAATAAAATGTATACTGTTGGACTCAGTACTTGTTAGACTACTACCACAAGTACAATCAAGTATTTTTACAGTGTACTTTTTGAGTAATCCCCTGTCAAACTCCCCTCCAGAGTACAATAATGCATGTTTTCTGCCATCTTTTTGATGAGAGATACAATTATTTTTTAAAATAAGTTCTTAGTGAAATTGATACTGTTGACTCAGTACTACTTGGACTACTCCCACAAGTACAATCAAGTATTTTGTATTTTTACTGTGTAGGCTACTTTTTGAGTAATCCCCTGTCAAACTCCCCTCCAGAGTACAAAAATGCATGTTCCCAGCGATTACCTTAAAGCTGACCAGACTTAAATAAAAGACTGGGTGAAAACATGCAAGTGCACGACTTTTATAAGGGCGAATATTGTGTAAATCTGTCCAGCTGTTGTAGCCTAGTATATCTTTATCATTCACAGTAAAACGCGCAGGGGCTTTTCTTTGGGTGTGTTCTGCTGCACAGCACTCTGGTAATTACGGTAATGATCCCGTTCTCCGGTTTTCCCGTTTTCCCTGTGGCCCTAGTGAGTGAGTGAATACTAGCGGAGTCTGCCTGCTGCCTGCTTGCCTGCCTGGGAATTTTAAAGCACATCAGCGGCCACTGCCATGGCTGAACGCCGCGCCTTCGCCCAAAAAATCAGCAGGTAAATTACTTGAGACCCCGAAACGAGCTGGTTTAAGGCCCACTGAGCCCCAATGTAGGTTGCTGTCAGACCCCCACCGAGGGGACCCTGTGGAGGAGGCCCGGACAGCAGCATAGCCTGGCTGCTAGCCGGTTGTTAGCTATATCGGCAGAGATGCTCAGACCCACCCAGACAGAAAGGGACACCGCTAGCTGCTAGTCTCTCACACCCCTACAGGCGCATAGGAGCAATATGTAATAATGTTATAATACATGTATAATGCCAAAGCCGTCCTTTGGTTTTTAGTTATTATACGCAGCGAAAATGATCTACTGTGAACTGAAAACCGTTCATTTTGGACAATAAACGATAGCTATCGTCCATACAGTAGCTAACGATGGGGAGCTAGGTAACGTTACTACTGGCCGAGATGAGAGTGAACTTTGTTGAGTTATGTTTTGAGCAAGAACCCACTGACAAGAGGGAGCAGCAGATGATTGTTATACAGGAAGTCTGGAAACAAAAGACCACCCCTACAGCTATTCAATTGCGATGTATTAATCTCATCCACGCCCCTCAGACAGATCAAAGTAATCTCTTTAACAAAGGGCTTTGTGCTAGCTGTCAAATACCTTCATCCCAAGCAATAGGTAGATACACAGATATATGAATGGATGCTCGATATAAACAATGATAGACGTTGAGGCTTAGATCGTTATTAACTGCTGTCTCTAACAGCCATCCACATGCAAATGCTTTGATCGCTGTCGTTATTATTGTCAATTAATGTATGGCTAATAATGATAATATTTGTCTATTTTGTATGCAAATAAAAACAAATGCAATGCATATGATATGTTATATTAATTTCCTTAAAAAAAATAATGTTTAACTTTATTGAGCCCAGTTTACTTACCTGGTAGCTACTATTACAGTGTTGAATGAGTTCCCGTCAATCAAAACCACATCCAACTATTGACAGTTTCTTATTGAAATATGCAGATTGAACACCTCATGGTAGGTTAACATTAGAACAGACCATCCCATCAGACAGACATGCTAACTTTTTTAATTTTTAGATGATCAAAATCATCCTCTAATTGGTTGTTTTGATCCTAGCCGACTTAAATATATGTAGTGGATTTTATTGTTATTGCTGCTAAATGCTATATTTCCAAGAAATGTATTAGCATCTGGTAAACATTACATTTGAAGTGTTGCTATTGCATGCTTCTTATTGGAGAAACACATTTGTACAGATCTGTCTCTTAAATACACTAATGAATTAGGCAACAATAATGTGTGAGTGTTAGTTTAATAATACTTGACAACCCTTCTATCCAGTAACACAGTTTAAAAAACGATGTACTCATAATTCCCAAGAAATACAAGGCATTACCTTTCTGACACAGTTACAAGAGGAACGTATACATTATAACCTTCACAAAGGTGCTTTGCTGTTGTATCATACTGCAATTAATGCTCTCATGAAGTCTTAGTGAGTTGTATCAACTGTCCGAATATGTGCAGCTGGCTTCTCACTGAGACTCTCCTAAATAAATAAAGGTTAAACATTCTTTCACAGTTTTCAGATTAGCCACAACACAGTTGTCCTTGCTCATGTTATTAACTTAGCCATTCAAAAGAAAGTGCCTTTATTATATCTGTTTAGTCATGCTGACATTAAGTAATAGAAGAGAGTGAACGTATGTAACATATTAAGGTAAATTACGCAACTTAAAAAGTCAGAGGCTTTGTGTAGAAGGTTAATATCTCAGTTGGATGATTCTCATATTATGATATTTGACATCAGTTTATATTATATTTTCCCTGAGAGTCATTTGTGTTACCATTTTGAGGAGATGGCCTCAAAAGGATGTTTATTAAACCAAGTTATTCTTCTGTGTGTTGACCAGTGCTAAGTTAAGGTCTGCTGACAGGCATTGGGGAGAACTGTGGAATGTGTTTGTGGGTTCAGTGCTTTTGCTTTTCTCCAGTAGCGATAGTGCTGCAATGCTGAGGCCACTGGATCACTACTACAGTATATTATTGAGATGATCTCAAAATGGCAAATTGGATCATTCAGCTGTCATTGTAATATTCTGCTTAAGACAATAAGCTCCTTAACATCATCTAGTTTGCAACCTTGTATTTTTAAGATATAAGGGTGTTGTAATCAGCACTATAGTGGCTTTAGTGAAACCAAAATCTGTGAGACGTTTACAGTACTACGCCCTGGCTGATGTGATCACACCTAATCCTCGCCCATCATTACTGTGATCATGGTTAAGAGTTTAAAAAGTAAGCTCTAAACTAGTTATTATGATTTTTCTTTCAGGAAGCAGATTAAAGAAAGGCAGGGAAATGGGTAAGATGGTTTGTTATTATATTAGTATAATGCAATTAGTTAGTAAATCATAATTGTTGGATCCTTATAGTCTTGTTTATACCTGTGTAACTTCACCTTGAGTCCTCAGTGTCTGGCTTTTATCCTTGGTTCTTATTTGTTATTTGTTTGTGTCACTTTGGACTGCTTGCTGCGTTGTTGTTTTGTTCAAGGCAAAGGTCTCTGAGTGCTTTTGGTGTTTGCTGTGATTTAAAGGACCTGTGTATGTGTATGACAGCAGCAGCGGTTGAACACCTAGAGATTTTTGCTGACCACTGGAGTCCAGAGGTTTTCATTTGTGTCTTTCTTCTCTGTCTCGGTGTAATATATGACATGATTCTGTCCAAGGAGACACAAAGAGAAAAGCCTAAAAGGACAGGAAGTGGTAATGTTAGTCGGCGTCTGCTTTGAGGTTTGCAAAATCAAGCAGCATGAAAAAGTGTCATAACTCTTCTCCTATACAGTTTCAAATACTGAACCGAACAATGCTAGCATATTGAATACCACTTGCATCACAGTATTACATTAAAGTATAGGTTACATTGGCTTTGAACTGTTCAGTTAGTTTTAGTTTTCTGTTTATTCTCAGCCATATCAAAGGGACAAATACCACAGTTGATATTTGTGGTGTATATTTTTATACTACAGTGGCACCACAGCAACTGATTATACCTAATTTTATTTCAATATTGGTTATAAGAAAATGACCTGTATACTGACCCCTAGTAGTATTAAAGCTGTGTAGTGCTATAGTATGTTTTTTGTGATCCTCAGCCCTAAATAAAAGCCCTAATTAGGCCAGCATATGTATCTTTGACTAATGTGTAGATCATGACCTGGACTGTAAAGAAGCACTGTCTGTATTCACTCTCTCCTCTGGTTGCAGGACTGTGGCAGCAGAGGTGAGGAAGCAGATAGCTGGCCAGTATGGAGGCTCCCCACAACTCTTCAAAAACATCAACGTTGGGGCCACAACAACCAACACAGTGAGTCTTCTCAAAGACCATGTAAAGACCACAGCCTAATATCGACATCCTGTCTCTGATCATAATCATACAAGTGTGACAGCTGATGCTACTGCATTGTCTGAAACTGTTTAGATACTGTTGATTTTTCACATTTTCCCAAGTGCATTTCTGGTGTTTGTTATGTTGGGAAACAAACGCC